GATTCCTTCCTTCTCTCAACAAGAAAAAAATCCTCTGAGATATTTTTCTTCCTTTTGAGAGATGAGGAAAGGAAATTTGAGACTTTCTGAATTGGGTTGAATTTGCTGCATGTCCCTATTAATTCTCTGTAATTATTGATGTGAGGGGACAGAAGAGAAGATAGGCCACGCCTAAATCTTCTCCTAAAAAGATATGCAATGTATTGAAAGTATCTTGACATTTCAGAAGAGTGGGACAATGTTATTTTACAGATTTCAGGTGTTTCAGATAGGTTCTGACCAGTAATTAATGACCTTTGAATCTCTGAATTCAATTTGTAATGTGGGAAAGAAACGTTTGATGCAACGAACATCAGTAGAGGAGTGAAATCCAAATCATTCCAAGCCTTAATGAGGGTGATCTGATCACTTCCTAATCCCCAAAAAAGTTTCAAAAGCTCTGTGGTCTGACACCAGGGAACCCCACAGATGTCCTGCTCTGATTCCAAGGGAATGAATGCCATGAGAAAGCTGTGATGCACCTCAGAATACCTGGCTGTGCATGCAGGTGTGCWTTAATTCACATTTATTCAGCTGCTTCAGAGCACTGGGTCAAATCTGCTCCTGGATTGAGCAATTCCAGCTGTGAAACTCCTCTTTCAGGTGGTTCTGTGTCTGTGGCTCCAAACAGCTCCACTGCAGGTGCAATTTCTCTGTGGGTTCCCTGTCACTGGAGCAGGAAACAAAGCAGCAAATGGAAAATCRCAGGAATTCTGCATGTCCTGAGCCCCCCTGGTGCTGCCTTCACTCCTTGTTTAACTAATTTGAGTGGGAAAATTTGAGTAGAAAAAAATTGAGAAAATTGAGTAGAAAATTGAGTTGAAAATCTACTAATTTGAGTAGAAAAAAAACCTCAAAAATCCTGCTGTGTGTCAGGATCAGCAATTGAAAGGAATTCAGGGGTGTTCAGGTTTGGATGTGCCAGCGTTGATGGAGATGGAGGATCCAGSTCCTGGTGGAGCCAGCCCCAGCTGCTCCATGGCCAGGGCTGAAACCCCAAACCCACTCATTTTAGCATCCTGKAAGGATTTCACCAATTAACTTCAGAGTTCACACATGAACCCCACTGCAGAATCAATTTTGTGGACATTGAAAGAATCCTTTCCAACTGGACTGCCATGAAAATGATAAAATAAACGGTGCTCATGGAAAAGAAAGTGATGGTAAAGAGTTAAGGGGCCTGAAAATGTGTTTTCCTGGACAAAAAACACCTGCAGCCATTTGGAGAAGGGAAAATGGGTGTTTTTAAAACCGTGATGGTTTTTCAGATGGGATATTTCAGGATATCACAGCCGCTTTTGAAGCCTGTACATGCTGTTGTATTTCCATTACAGATCTAATCATTTCTATCAATTAATGTCTCTCTCTGCCCTGTCCCTCAGCCTTTCCAAGCACAGTTAACCACAGCAGGGTTGGATTTCTGGCATTTTGGGGAGTTTGGGATCTGCCAGGGGGTGTTAAATCTTTGCTGCCTCACCCAACTCATCCAGCTGGGTTCCCTGCAAGGACCTGACTCCAGTTTTGTGTTCAATTAATAAAGTTTTCCCCAGTGCTGCTCTGCAGGAATTGCAGCTCACAACCCAAATCTCACTTTAAAGGGAACGGATTCAGGAAGGGGAGAAGCATTTTCCAGGTATTTCCTAGAGAATCAGAAAATCCAGAAAATCCTGGTGGGAAGGTGGAAACAACATGAGATTTATCCAGTCCTTAACTGTGTAAATTTAATTCACACTATTAATATATTGCAGAGTACATTTAATTTCAGCAAAGCCACTTCAGTGCTCATTATTTCTCAACTTGAAACTTTGGAATCGACTTCTATCCAAAATTTTAAAGGATTCTGCTTCAAAAGAGTTTTTTATTCATTCCCTTTACCTGCAAAACAAAATTTATTCTTTGCTTTGCTGGGGAAGTTCACAGATCGAAGTAGGACTTACTACCAATAGTACTTAGTCCTAGAAATAAACCATCCAACCCACCCAAAATCAAAGTTCTGTTGGAATCAAACAGAAAAAGGAGAAGTGAAAACCCCAGAAATGAAAGTGCGAGGATTGAATCCATCTTTGCAGCTTTTAGGAGCTGGTAAAACATTTGAATAATGGTTTAGTATTCATTAYATTTATTATGTTTTATTATTTGTTTAATCTTTTATTATTTATGATGTTGTTCTGATGAATAGCATTGTGTTCCTCTGCTCTTTCTCTGTGTATTCTTCTACAAAGGGTCAAGAGTTTTTCCAGTTCCTCCCAATATTTATCACCAGTCCAACCACGTTCATGCACAATCATAAATTTTGAAATTTTTATTCCATGTTTGCCAAATACTCTGTTTTCTGTCTAATTAATTATAGTAGTTTATTCCACTGCTATTTAAGTCCTGGAAATCCGATTTTTTTTATTCAATTAYTTTCTATTCTAATTATTTTATTATTTATTTTGTGTGTATTTTCTGTCTGTGGAAGGGCTCATGCAGTGCAGATGCTCCCATTTCTCACATTTATGAACTTGGCAGATTTCTCAGTTTCTCTCACTGTTCTTTGGGGTTTTCCCCTCAATTTTTAATAGCCTGAGTGGAATTTTTACTTTCCTGAATTAAGGAAAGCCCTCGAAAAATCAGCAATATTTTTTCAAATGGCCTTTCCCCTCTCAGTGATACTTTCCAAAGCAAACATCTGTTAAGGCAGTAATTATAAATTGTGATTATCAGTAATTATAATGCAGATTAAAGGGAAATCCGTGGAGCTGGTTAATTTTCACCATCACACTTGTATCACATACAACATTCACCAAATACAGGAATAGCCTGGACAATGCCTGTTCTGTCAAATAGAAACTCCCAGAAAAGAGCAGCTTGGGATATGGAATGGGAGGATTCAGGACAGGTTTTCTTTAATTTTCATGGAATATTTCTGTTTTTTTCGGCAGAACAATCCCCTGGATGGAGTTGGTGACAGAGAGGTGCTGCACGATGGCATCTCCATCCCAGGGTACAGAGGGGAAACTGGGATAAATAAAGATTACATGAATAATAATTAATTTATTCCTCCTCCTCAGAGCAGGAATGAAGGAAAAGCTGCCCAAACCCCAGAATAAATCCAGTTATTGGAGCCTCATGGGCCTGGCACAGGGTTAGGCACAGACAAGAGATGGGCTGTGATGATTTCATTTTGCCTGTCTGKTTTTTTCCTGTCTGAAGTTGGAGTTTTTCCTGGGCTGCCACAGGCTGGGATGTGATGGAGCACGTGGAATTTCGGGATCAGGCTGCAGAGCAAAATGATATGACTGCATTTTTCTGGGGAGAAAGCATCAATTTTTTTTCTCTTTCTTCCCTTTTTTTCCTTTTTTTTTTTTTTTTTTTTTTTTTTTTTTTTTTTTTTTTTTTTTTTCCAATGTGAGTTTGTGTTTGTTCCTGCGGCCCGGGAGGATTCCACAGCTTTGGGATCACAGGAAGAGCCGTGGCCCCGTTAATTACAGGAGTGCCATGGTCAGAGGGCTGCCAGCATTTCCATTGCAAACCCAGTGGTTACAGCTCACTCACAGAAATGTGCTGYTCCCTCATCAATCCCCAGTCTGGCAACGATTTGCTCCCCTCCCACCCCCAAAAATTGAAAAAAAAAAAGAGTAAAAAAACCTGGTTTAAAAATCTGGAAGTGATACACCAGTGAGTGGATGTTGACTAAGCAGGAACTTCGGCTCCTACGGTTTAGATCAACTTCATTCCTAAATTTCTCCAGAAGTGACCTTTATTGTAAAATTTTGCAAGTGCTTTTGGTCATTCRGAAACAAATCAATGTCTCATCAAACCTCCAACAATTCTGAGTTCGTTTTCTAGAGGATCAGCCTTGCCTCTGGTCGTGATTATGGAATGGGGTGGAAAATGAAGGGTTTGGGACCTCTGTACTGCTGCTGCCCAGTTAAATCACATTTTGAAAGGGTTCAGCCTTTTATTTCAGTTTTTTATTTTTATTTCAGCATTTTATTTATTTCATAAACCTCTTCTGTGAAATATCTGTGTTTAGGGCAGAAAGGTGGAAAAAAACCCCAGTGCCAACCATGCCCACGAGTGGGACATGTAAAACTTCCTCAGGTGAATGATGGAAGTAAAACTGGTCATTCACAGCACTTTTTGAGACAGAACCATTCCCATTTCATTGAATAAACTGTTTTCATATCCTTCTGTTTATTCAATTTCCTACTCAGTGATTGGATTATTCTGAATTATTGCTGGAGCCTTCCCTAGAAAACCTGGATGTTCTGTATCACAAGCCAGGACCTGCCTTTACAGAGTTTTTGTGAATTACACAYGGCTGCTTTCATATGGGGTCAGAAAATGTATTTACAGCCCTGCCAAATAATGGAAATTGGGGGGAAAGGTGGTTAATTTGGGTAATTAAGGGTTATAACCTTTCAAAGCCTCTATATATTTTTTTTTCCTACTCAATGATTGGGTTATTCTGAATTATTGCTGAAGCCTTCCCTAGAAAACCTGGATGTTCTGTGTCACAGGATTTGCCTTTACAGAGTTTTGTGAATTAGACATCACTGCTTTCATACGGGGTCACAAAATGTATTTACAGCCCTGCCAAATAATGGAAATCAAGGGGTAAAGGTGGTTAATTTGGGTAATTAAGGTTTACARCCTTGCAGAGCGTGAGTTTGTGGGTCAGAAAACGCAGAGGCAAAACTTAATATAGAAAACTTCAGAAATTCAGTTTAAAAAATGAAGTTGACAGAAAGATGTGCAAAAAAACATTTTAATTTAAGGAAATTTAAGAACACCAACTTGCTATTTGAGAATAAGAGAATCCTGAGAAAACACCCCCAACAAGTGACCGTGGCCAGAACGATTTTGGCTGTGTTACTCTCGTGCTTCAATAATTCCCCAAACGGCTTTGGTGGTGGCTCTCTCCACTTCACAGACCCCAGAAAAAGATCAAATCTCTTCTCTGTTTGTCTCCCCAGCTGACCATGCCAACGTTCCCCGTGGTGGTGAAGATTGGACACGCTCACTCAGGCATGGGAAAGGTGCAGATCTGCTGGCTGCATGTCGGGGAGTCTGTCCCTGCCCTGTGCATGCTCATCCTTCCCCTGATATTTYACCTTTTACCCTCTCAAATCCCCCCTTGTAAACCCCTGCCTGTCTGTCGCTCGAGAAAGCAGCTCTTTTTGGGGAAATCTGAATTTTCACAGCAAGGCTCTTGTGGTTTAAGCCTTGCMCCAGGTGGGATGGCCTTTGAAAAGTGCTGAGATGCTTTCTCGAAGCAAAACCTCATGCATTAATTCCTTGTCTGTGCTGAAACCCTCCAAGAGCCAAGGCCTGTTTGTTGCCCAACCCAACTTTTTGGAGCTGGGAGCATGGGAGGGTTTTGACTTATTCCAGGAAGGTTTTACCTTGGTTCAGGAAGGTTTTACCTTGGTTCAGAAAGATTTTGCCTTGATTCAGGGAGGTTTTACCTGATTTCAGGGAGGTTTTGCCTTGGTTCAAGAAGGTTTTGCCTTTCTTCAGAAAGGTTYTACCTTTATCCAGGAAGGCTTTGCCTTGGTTTAAAAAGGTTTTGCCTTGGTTCATGGTGGTTTTGCCTTGGTTCAGAAACGTTTTACTTTGGTTCAGAAAGGTTTCACCTTGGTTCAGGGAGGTTTTGCCTGAGTTCAGGGAGGTTTTGCCTTGGTTCAAGGAGGTTTTTTCCTGACTTCAGAAAGGTTTTGCCTTAATTCAGACGGGTTTTGCCTTGGTCCAGGAATGTTTTACCCTGTTCAGAAAGGTTTTGCCTTGGTCCAGGAAGGTTTTGCCTTGGTCCAGGAAGGTTTTACCATGGTCCAGGAAGGTTTTACCATGGTTCAGGAATGTTTTACTTGGTTCAGGAAGGTTTTGCCTTGGTTCTTTGCTGGTTTCAGCTCAGCCCTGAGCTCTGTTCCCTGCCTTGCTGTGCTGTCTGTGGTTGTTTTGTTCCTCTCTATAACTGCTGCTTTCTCTCTCCAAAGTAATTGCATTTCCGTGGTGAGTACAGATGTTTTGGTATCGCTTCTCTCACAGTGCTGGGCCAACGGGAGAGCATTTAAATCCCAATTTCACTGACCTCAATGACGGTTTCTGGTCACTGCAGAGCAGTTTAACTCACTGGAAACATCCCAGTGCTAGAAGTGGTTTAGATTTTAAAACAACTAATCAGAGAACAGCTGCATTTATCACCTTGAATCTCCAAAACTCCATGAAAAACTGATTTAAAACTGATTTAATTGCAAGCTGGACTGTCCTGGTCTTGTTTTTTTTTTTTTTTTTTTTTTTTTTTTTTTTTTTTTTTTCCTGTGACTCCTTTGCTTGCTTTCGTATTTAATAAATAAGTGGAAGTCCAGCAGCCAATTTAAATGAGAGCAGAAAAAATCCTCAAATTAAACCTAAAATTAAGCATTTTCTAAATTGTGAAATGTTAGAATGYTTATGCTGTACTTTGGATATTCACCTCTCATTCAGAGAAAAGGGAAATAATGCACTGAAATATCCCTCATATCAAACATCTAGAACTGAACTTAGATTTTTCCTTTAACCATGAAATATTTTAAACCCCAAAAGGTTAAATGCAATGAGAGAGCCAAGGAAGGTTCTCCTGGAGCCCCAGCCCTCCTGAGGGCACTGCTGGAGAACCATTCCCAGTGCTCCCAGTTAGACCCCGTTAGGCTGATAAATTCCCAGAAAATCAAGTTGAAACCAGGCTTTTTGTCCACTTTGTGKCTCTCAAATGGTAAATCTCTCTGTATCTCCCTCCATCTGAGAGCTGGGAGCAAACCCTCAGACTTTGGGGCTTTCATCTCCWCCAAATTGTGTGGGATGTGCCCCAGGAAAAGCCAACAGGATGCTGGGCTTGCAGAGAGCTGCAAACTCCCCTAAAATTGAATACCCTGGGAAATTCCAACCTCTGCCTGCTCCCTCACCATCCCCAAATGTCCTTGGGGTCGGTGTGGAGCAGCCCCACTGCCCTCTCCCATTTCCCACCAACCCCAAAGCTCCATCCTGAGCCCCTTCCCTTCCCTGTTCCAGCAGCCACAAGTTCCCCCAAAGATGTGCCCTCCCTGGCCAGGGGTGATGTCCCTGTCCCCCCTCTGTCCCCAAAATCTGCTCCCTGGCCCCCTGGATCTGAATTCCCCATTTTTCCATGCCCCGTTTACTTCAGGATGTAAAAGTTGATGTTTTAGTGCCACTCCCCACCTAAGCACAGAGTCCCACCCATGGGAATTGCCATCCTAGAGAGCCCAAATCCTCCAGAGGAGTGGGAAAAATGAGAATATTGGTTCTGCTGCCGGGAAAAATGAGAATATTGGTTCTGCTGTGGGAAAAAATGAGAATATTGGTTCTGCTGCTGGGAAAAATGAGAATATTGGTTCTGCTGCTGCGAAAAATGAGAATATTGGTTGTGCTGCCTGGGCCCAGCCCTCTGTGCTCCCTGTGAGGGATCCTCCCTGATGGGAGGGTGGGAGAGCTCTTGGTGGGCTCCACAGACACTCAGTCACCTGAGCATGG